AAAATGGGGGGGGGGGGGGGGTGTACCCTGCTTTAATCTTTTTATAGTATAAAAATCTTGAGACTGAATTAAAGCCCTACTGTTTGGACTGGATGATATTACCTAATTCTCAGAAACGAGAGCAGCTGGCCACAGTGCAGATACCGCCTAGCAAGCCCTACAGTGCACAGCACATCATTTAGCAGGGCTGTAAAAGAAAGGACGTTTATTAGGGGGCTTGGGAGTGAAACTGAATGTGCTGGCTTGGCTTTTAGCTGGCTGGATTTCATTTCCAGCTCCTCTGTTTTATTTTCCACTTAAAGAAAGAAATAAATGAAGACCTTTTAGCCCGCCTTCCAAAACTGTTTTTTGTCAGGCCTTTGGGCAAATCCCGTGCTGAGAGCCTGGGGGTCTTGACATGAATGTTGTTAACCTTGTGGTGATGTAGCTAAACAGGCAAAGGTCCTGTCAAAATCCACTTTCAGGAGGATCTGGAAAAGGAGGGCAAGTAACAGAGGTGTTAAAAATCACCCGATTGTTGGGAATTTTCACTCTGAGGCAAAATGAAAATAAAACCATGTCATGAGCCCACCAAATAACATGAATTTTACAAACATTTATTGCCATTTCCTGTTCCTTCCTCTTCCTGCCTTTCACCTGCCTCTCCCCACCAGTTGCTTAGGTTGGCACCATCAGGTTTGCCATTTCTTCCTTGCCTTTGCCTCTTTTCTTTCTTTAGGTAATACGGTGGGGGAAAAAAGTCATAGATTTGGGGGCTGGGTTCCTCCCTTTAGCTACAGTACAGATTTCCTTGCTGATGCAGCTGCCAAAAGGGACCTCGAGCTCATCCTGGTGGTCCTGCCCCGCTTTGCACTGATGGAAGGTGACACTGGCTGTTCTCAAACAACCTGTCCTGGCTTTTCCACAGCACCTGAATCTGCTGCCAACAGCAGTGTGTCAATCATCCACCCGTAGATGATGGGGCTGAGAAATAGCTGATGCTATTTTTTTTAATGCTGTTTCCCAAAGCGATGAAGAGCCCTTTGGAAAATGTGTCCTTGGGTGTGCCAGTCAGTGGCACTCCAAAGTTCGTCAGGACCTGGGGAGTCCAGCCCTTGTCCCAGGGCACTTCTCACTTAAAAACAGAATAATGTGGAAAAAACCCAGGTTATTCCATTTACAGTATCTAGAGCTAAGTACTTAAGTTAAATAGCTAAACTTTAAGTAAAATACTTTTAAGAAGCATGCAAATATAAGGACTTGAAATGTTAAAGTATTAAATCTGTAACTTCAATTTTGAAAGTCCTCGCAATGTACAACAGTGGTACTGGGGGCAGCAGGAGCTTCCATTCTTCTACGCTTTGGAAATCAGCTTATGTCCTTATAGGTCCACTTTTATTTAGCCATCCCGCCCTGTGCTAGATAATACACCTGCAGTACTTTCTGCAAGAAATGTGTGAATGCTTAGCGGATGTGGCTGGGAATGTTTTTTCCCCTGTATTTGGTGTTCTAGGCTCGAATGGCCTGACCCTTTGCCTTCCCTATGCTGGCGGACGAGCTCTCACGCCAGCAGTGTGCTGGGCTACTAAGGCAAGTGCTGTGATCAGTGCTGGCGGAGGGACCCCCGGGAATGGGGTGCAGCTTTCTGCCCTCCCCGCAGGCGCCGTGCGTGCGCCGGATGAGCCGCTGCACTCGCTGTGGCTTTGGTCCCTGCCTGTCCATTTTCAAAGTGTGCCTTTCTTCCTCACGGCTCAAAGATCCTCTCAGATTTTGGGAGAACAGCCGGTACAGAGGAGGGCAGATGTGCCTGTGCCTGGCACCATCTAACGGGGTTGCTGTTAATTCATCACTTTGGTATTAATTAAGCTAGGCAGGATGTGAGCAGCAGAGTTGTCCGACGGGCAGGGTCCCAGCAGCACACTGAGAAACCAACAGCAGCATGAGAAAAGCACTAAGGGCTGTATTCTGGTTG